AGGCTTGTAGTTGAGAGAGAGGCTTGTGGGAAGCCGGTGGTGGCAGTTGGGGGTCTGAGGGTTTTTCCTGAGGAGCTGTTTTGTTTGGCGTGTGTGGTTCTAAAAATAAAGTTAGTTTCTTTTGACAAGTGGCTCCTGATTGTGCCCAGCCAGACTGCGGCATTTGGTGGCTCGCACGGGGAACGAACCCGCGACCTTGGTGTTATCAGCACCAACGATTTGCTTGGTCATAAGCCAGTTGTTTTATTAATGGCATTGCTTGTTCTGTATTCCCAAAAACTCTGGTAGCTATTTGAATAAGCCTATCTACAAATTCAGCGTAAGATTCATTAGCTCCTTGTATTACCTTAGATAATTGACCTTGTAAACCTCCATGTCCTTGTAAAGTCTTCCATGCCTTAACTGCATCTACAGCAATTTGTGCGTATACACCAGGATCATATGCAATTTGTTGCTGCTGATCCTCATAAGGTCCCTTTCCTAACAACATATCTAGATTTCTCTGAGGATAACCAGCTGCTGCATTTCGCCTACATATTAAAATAATTCTGTTGAAGATAAGGTACATTGTTAAGAAAATTGTTTTCTAAAAAAAAAGAAAGAAAAGAAAATTGTTTTCTTGCATTGTGAACTCACTTGTATGCATTGTGAACTATCTGTTGGTGCAGCGACTTGTGGTAGTGTTGGGGTATTTATGCTGATGGTGTCATCGGTGGTACAATTTTTCCAAAAGGAGCCATCACTGAACTGCTTGCAGAACTTGCCTGGACTATGTATCACTTGTATGCATTGTGAACTCACCTGTATGCATTGTGAACTATCTGTTGGTGCAGCGACTTGTGGTAGTGTTGGGGTATTTTTACTGATGATGTCATCAGTGGTACAATTTTTCCAAAAGGAGTCGTCAATTGGCTTGGTGTATCTTCCTCCCTTCTGCTTGTCATGGTCGTTCAGCTAAAATTTGGGGGCGAACAGAGGTGAGGCAAAGAACCTCCCCCCCCCCCCAGCTGATACAAAGACCTATCCACAGGTGTGGCTGTATTCTGGACCGGTAGTCAGTGACGGGTAAGATCCAATTGCAATGGTACCAACCTTAGACAGGAGGCTGACGCCTTGAGGTCAGCTCATCCGATAATGGGTAAGGACCATATGTACTATTGGACAACCTAAGGCAGGCACGGTCCCTAAGCCACATGCTTGTTGTTTAAACAGAGAGGGGGAGATGTTGAGAGCCACAGCCGAAGGGGCCCCAGCAAACTTCTAGCTGCCAGCAAACTTCCAGCTGCCAGCTGATAATTGGCTCACAGCGGCCCCAGCAACTTCTAGCTGCCAACTGATTGGCTCCTCTCCGGTGATGCTCATTGGGCTGTTTCCCTGCCCTTTCAGACCAGCGAGCTACTCACTGGGGGACTTTTTTGGCTCCGCCCACACGACCCAGCCAATCCGCCTCAAGAGCAGGAGGCTTGTGGTTGAGAGAGAGGCTTGTGGGAAGCCGGTGGTGGCAGTTGGGGGTCTGAGGGTTTTTCCTGAGGAGCTGTTTTGTTTGGCGTGTGTGGTTCTAAAAACAAAGTTAGTTTCTTTTGACAAGAGTCTCCTGATTGTGCCCAGCCAGACTGCGGCATATACTTATTTTAAAAATTGAGTAGATCCACTCAGTGTTCAAAATTGATACTTTGGGAAAACACTGTCCCTATTCTGAGTTTTCTACCCTTGTACCTTTTAATTTTCAGATTAGAGAATCATATGGTGAACGGATAGCCTTAGGATGTAGTAAGTTCTCCAAGACTATAAGTATTAAAAGTATTTAATACTTTCAGTATTAGAAATATTTTTACTATCACTTGATAAAAGACATTAGTTGCCTTTCATTCCAACCCTACTTGAGATGAGGTAAGGTTCTTTTGTTCACTTTTTTATTTTTATTTTTTGGTACAGTGATTGAACCCAGGGGTGCTTTACCACTAAGCCCCTTTTATTTTTTATTTTGAGATGGAGTCTTAGGGCGTTGACTACTTTGAACTTGCAATCCTCCTGCCTCAGCCTCCTGAGCCACTGGGATTACAGGCATATGACACTGCACCTAGATTAGTACCATCTTTGAATTGTCAACTCTTAAAACCAAGAAGAGACCAAGAGACAAAAAGAGAAGAATGAGATCTAACCTATGTTTCACTAGAACCTGATAAAGAAAAGAAAGGATAGAAAATGAAGGGGGGGGCAATCTCTGAAGAGACAGTGACTGGGAATTTTTCTGTACTAATAATAGATACCCATCCACAAATTTAAAAATGCCTACAAATTCCAAGCAGATACATAAAAAAAGAATGCACTTAGATATATTACACTAAATTACAGAAAACAAAAAACAGAGAGAAAATCCTTAAAAACAGCCAGAGGAAGAAAAGACAGATTACCTTTTAAGAGGAGCTCAGGTAATCAAGATTAGCACAAGGATGTACAAATAGACCAATGGAATAGAATAATGAGCTCATAATACACCCATATACATATGGACACAAGATAATCTTTGCAGACCAGTGAGAACACAATGGATTTTCCTAAATATGGTACTGAGAAAATTATTAATTAAAGGGGAAAAAAATCTGACCCCATCCTTACAGCATATACAAAAGTCAGTTAAAAATGGATTGAACATCTAAATGGGAAAGCAAAACTTACAGCTTTTAGGATAAATATAGGAGAATATTTATATGAACCTGGGACAGGGAAGGAGTTCTTAAACAAGATACAAAAAGCATTAACCTTAAAGGAAAAAAATTGGTAAACTCAACTTTTTTAAAATTAGAAATTCTGTTCATAAAACCACGTTAAAGTGACAGAACAATCCAAATAGTATGGACATATAATACAATAAATGCTTACAATAAATAAGTTAGTCTAAGAGAAAAAAATGTAGAAAATTTGAAGAAACATATCACAAAACAAACCCTAATATAAACATATGGAATGGTGATCAACCTCATTATTAACTATGGAAATACAAATTTAAACTTGCATGTGTATGTATAAATATCTAAAAGTCTGATACAATTGAATTAATGCAAAGTAGAAACCTCAGTTCTTTCATACAAAGAAACGTCTGTGAAAAATGATATTCCAAGACCACTACACTCTGTAGTGAAAATGTACACTATAAAATGTAAATGAGGGCTGGGGATGTACCTCAGTGGTACACTGCTTGCCTTATGCACAGGAGGACTTGGATTCAACCCCCAGTACTGAAAAAAAAATGAATGAAATATAATTTGACATTGGCAAAAACAACACATTTAAATATTAATACTAGTTAAGTGATCAAATTTTTTTCTTGTAATTCTGTGTTTTTGAAGTCTCTAAAATAATCATGCTTTTTATTTTATTAGTACCAGGGATTGAATGCAGTGATGCTTAACTACTGAGCTACATGACCAGCACTTTTTATTTTTTGAGATAGGTTCTCCCTAATTTACTCATGGCCTTGCTAAGTTGCTGAGGCTAGCTTTGAAATCATGATCCTCCTGCCTCAGCCTCCCAGGCCGCTGGGATGACAGGCCTGTGCCACCATGCCCAGCTTATGCTTTTATTTTAAAATAATAAATATTATACTTATAAGAAGAATTCAGCAAGCAGAAGTGAATATTAGGTATATCGAGAGTATTTGGCTTTTGTTTTTTCTTTTGGTACCATGGTTTGATCCCAGGGGTGCTTAACCACTGAACTACATCCCTAGCCTTTGTTTAAAATTTTTTATTTAGAGACAGGGTCTCACTGAGTTGCTAAATGCCTTGCTAAATTGCTGAGGCAGGCTTTGAACTCGCCATCCTCCTGCCGCATGCAGCCCCCTAAGAGGCTGAGATTACAGGTGTGCCCACCCCGCTAAGCCTCTAATACCAGGCATACCCATCCTTTTTCTCCAATGGGGACATTATAAGGATCTCTATTCAAATGATATATCTTTTTATTTTTGTTTTTGAGGTACTGTGATTGAATGGGGGGGGTGCTTTACCATTCACCTACACCCCCAGCTCTTTTTATTTATTCATTTAAATTTTGAGACAGGGTCTGGCTAAGTTGTTGAGGTGCACCTCGAACTTGCCATCCAAGTCACTGGGATTATAGGTGTCATTTTTTCCCCTAAATATTTATTTTTAAATTGTAGTTGGACACAATACCTTTATTTTATTTATTTTTATGTGGTGCTGAGGATCAAACCCAGGACCTCGCTTTTGCTAGGCTCTGCCACTGAGCCACAACCCCAGCCCCCATGGAAACATTTTTATTAAACAAGAATTTTCAGAGAAAGGAAACTATAAAAGAAACCCTACTATACCCTGGATATTACTTGTCGAAATTCATCATGCATTCTTTCCTTTTCTTCTTGGGTGACTCACCTGGAGAAAGGTAGAAATGGTAGAAGAAAAGTAACTCTAAGACAGCAGGTTTTTCCTAGTACCCTAGTTAGTTAGATTAGAAGTCATTATCAGCCCCAAACTCGTTACCCACCACACACAGGGTATGGCGATCGAAGGAAAATGGGGCATCCTATGCAAGTTCACGGCTGTCCTGGGTTAGAACCTAACGTCAGAAAGGTTTCCTGGGGCTAGAGTTCTGGAGTCACAGTCCTAAAGGAGACAGGAGCCCCATACTAATACACAGTGTCTCATCCATTAAGGGACGGTCATACTAAAGCCATAACTTCACAATGAACTGCCATCTCGTGTCCATACATAAAGCCGCAGTGTCATAATGTATCCAGACAATCCCACAAACTCCTGTGTCCAGTGCGCTCTGCCCGTACAGCCCCAAGGCTCCAGCTCCTGACCCAGCGGACCTGAGGCGCTTGTCCCGCCGGATCTAAGGGTCCCGCCAGGCTGGACGAAACACTCGGGTTCGCGGGGAGAGCGAGGCCACCAGGCCTTCTGGGAAATGTAGTCCAGAGCAGGTGTCCACGTCGATTCTTCTCAGGGCCCAGCGTGTGCCCACCCGAAATGACTGCGCAGGCAACTCCCCCAATCCAGAGCAGTTTCACCGCTGGTACTTCGCCACAGCGTGGCGCGCGGCACTACCCCTTCCCAGCGGACCTGGCTAACCCCTCCTGAGCACTGGGAACGCGGGCAGCGTCCTGGACGGAAGTTGAGTTGGACCGCGTGGCCTTCTGGGAGGAGTTCTGCTTGGAACGTAGCGGTCGCGGAGAGCTCCTTCGGCTTACCTGAGCCTGTCCCTGACCTGCTTGCGCGTGGGCTTCACTGGGTCTCTCAGAAACCGCGCGCTGGCTGCGCCTCCGGCTGTCCCGGGTTTGTGGCGCTGCGAGTGCCCGCCTTGGGAGGTGAGGGCGGGGCTCCGGCCGTCCGGTTTGGACCGGCGGCGGGCGGCTGACGGGGCGGAGGCCCTGAGGGGTCCGGGAGTGGCCGGGCTAGCGGAGGTGGGAGGTAGCGGCGGTGCGCTGGAACTACTCATGGGTCGTTGGAGTGGTTAGAGTCGTTGGGACGAAAAAAACGTGGTGAGAATTAGCGAATGTTTATGATTATCGAAGGTGTGTGGTTCTGTTTGGTGGCGTGATCATGGTGTATGTTTGTGGTTTTGTGTGGTTGCGGTTAAGGGTGTGGTGTGGTGTGGTGTGAAAGCCTGGCGAAGTGCGACTTCGATGTGTAGTGGTTCTGGTCTGTCTTGGGTTAGTTTTCTCTGTTGTGTTTTGACATAGTTGACAAGTACATTTGAAATACAATTCTGTATTTTCTAGCGGGCCTTTCTTTACGTTGGCCCCCCCGCCTTTTGTTTCCTTTACCGCCCCTCCCCCACAATTCTTGACCGTTATGTAGCTTTCAAGTTTTCCGTGATGATCTTTCCCAGGTTTGTTACCATCATCGTATGGCTTGCATCTTTTATTATGTGCATTCATTTATTTTTTTATTTTGTTTTGTTTTGTGGTACTGGTGAAGAAACCAAGGGTCTCTCACGCATGCTAGGCGAGCGCGCTGCTACTTAGTTATACGCCCATTCCTGTCTTGGTTTAATAGTGCTTAAGAAACCACCCTTAACCTCAGCAGCATACAGTAGGTAGCGTTTATTTTCTTATTCAGGTTATTTGGTTTACTATATTCAGCAGATCGAGGCTGCGTTTTGGTTGAGAGGCAGAGCCATAGGAAGAATTCATATCTGTCCTGCATTTATTCTTTCTGGGGCTCAGGCTTAAAAGAACAGTGGTTACTAGGACATTTTCAATCCGGGATGGATTTCCAGAGCATAGAACGGATCATGCAGATACCCTTAAAATCTCTGCTCCCAAATATACTGGTATTTCATTAGCCAAAGTAAGTCAGGTGCTAAGCTTAACATGGGATAGTTACCGGGCAAGTAATGTGAATGTATAATAACCCTGTTAGGGTTGAAGAATTAGGACCAGGATTCCAGTCTGCCACAGTAAGAAACATACTTCTTTATTCTGGCAAATGCCTTTTAGCCCAGGTTATCTTGACTGACGATAATCCTTTTCAGATTTTGTTATTGTGTTTGTCAGGAATTTCGATTTTCAATCCCTCTCCTTTGTCTTTATGTTTCAGGTTTCTTGTGAGGAGTACATTGCTGAGCTTTTTATCCTTTTATCCTGTTTGTCATTTTAATGGGTGAGTATAAGTGGTTACATTTATTAGAATTAGTGATAAAATTTTTCTATTTTCTATTTTTTATATTTTTTATTGTGCAGGTTTATCCCTTTCTTGCTCCACTGGTTTAATTTCTGCTCTTATCCTTGAATTTTTAATATAAATGCCTAATGAAACCCAAACTCAAGTAAGACTTTCAAACACTTGAACTCCGAACTATGCATCCTTTTATCTTATTCATATCTAATATATTACTTTCTCCTAGTTTTAAGTCACCAACTACATATTTTATTTGATACATGTATGTACATATATATATTTATTTTTAAATTGTAGTAAAACACAGAATTTACTGTCTGAACTATATTTTACAGTTCATTGGCATTGAGTACATTTACACTGTTATGCTTTCATCATCACTGTTCATTCCCAGAACTCTTTTCATCTTGCAAAACAGAAACTTGGTACTCATTAGCAATGACTTCTTGTTTTGCCTTACCCCAGTCCTGGCAACCACCATTTTACTTTTTGTCTCTATGAATTTTACAAATATAGATAACCTCGTTTTAGAAGAATCATAACACATTTGTCCTGGCTTAACTTAATATATGGTTAACAGTGTTCTTCTTCTTTTCTTTTTTTTTTTTTTTTAAATATTTTTTAGTTGTCGATGGATTTTTTTTAATGTTTTTTAGTTGATGGACTTTTATTAATTTGTATGTGGTACTGAGAATGGAACCCAATGCCTCACACATGCCAGGCAAATGCTCTTCGATTGAGCTACAACCCCAGCACTATCAGTGGAGCTTTCTATTATGTATTTATATGTGATGCTAAGGATTGAACCTAGGGCCTTACACATGCCAGGCAGGCACTGTACCACTGAATCACAACCCCAACCCCTTAACAGTGTTCTTAACATTTGTCTTTGTTAGTGTGTATCAAAATTTCCTTCCTTTTTAAAGCTGAATAATATTTTTTTTCTTTTTGTATATAATGTTTATTCATCCATTAATGAATACTTGGGCTGCTTATATTGAGTGTTGCAAATAATGGTACTCTAAATATGAGTGTAGGAACTTATCTGAGTCCCTGCTTTCAATTATCCTGTGTGTGTATACTTGAGAAGAATTGTTTGGTCATATAATAATTCTGCTTTTAATGTTTTGATTGCCACACTGTTTTTCACTATGGCTTAATCAACACACTTTCTGAACACCACCTGTCAATGGTAAAACCAGGAAAAAAAATTTTTTTCATAGAGTTTTTATTGGGGAGAGGACAAATGGATTGTGTATGTGATAAATAAATTACATAGTATTTTTAGAAGATAATAATTGTCATGAAAAATAGTAACCATGTGAGGGGTATAAGAAGTCTATGTCAATTGGGCTGGGGTTGTAGCTCGGTGGTAGAGGACTTGCCTAGCATGTGTGAGGCACTAGATTAGATTCTCAGCACCACATATAAATAAATAAAGATCCACCAACAACTAAAATAAATAAATAAAGAAGTCTATGTCAAGCATAGCCCTTCTCAAAACTTATTGTAATTGTTCAGTATCTTTGTGACACAGGTATAATTCTCATTTCAAAGGAGAATTCTAAATTACAACTTCTTGACCTCAGTTGCCAAGGTAACTCAGAGAATAGAATTACTGGACCAGCTCTCTCTTGGTCCAAATATGGGGCTACTGCAAATCTGAATATTTTTTCACTCATTTTTATATCTGTCACTTTATCAAGTCTATGCCTTTATACTTTTTAGAGAGTATTTGAGGAGCAAATATGTGAACATCACTTTGTCTCTAGACTCTTGGTGTCTCTGTTGAATATTTGGTTCAGCTTTAGTTGGTGAGTCTTTTGAGTTTTCCTCTCGACATCTGCTGCATTCTGCATCCATTACCTCTATTCAGTGACTGTAGGGAGTGTGAAGCAAGGAAGATAAGTGGTTAGGGCTATGTTAATCTATTACTATGCAATAAATTTACTTAAACACTTTGAAGCATAAACAACCATAATGTTAGCTCATTATTTCTGTGAAATGTGACTTGCTGGTTATTTTGGCTTTGGTATCTCATACAAAGTTGAAATCACAATGACAGCAGGGCTGCAGGCCTCAGAAAACTAGACTTGGGTTGGAGGATCTGCTTCCAAAATGGTTGTCAAATTAGTGTTAGCTGTTGGCAGGATGCCTTGCCTGACTTCATAGTAGGACACCTGTCTTTGCTTAAAATGCATGATCTTAAAATGTGTAAGATGGAAGCCCCAAAATATTTTATGATCAAGTCTTGGAAGTCACACACTGTCATCTCAATCCTCTTCGGTGTGGGAGGGGTCTGGTTTGAGTTCCAGAAGACAGTGATCATTGGGAAACATTCTGGAGCCTGGTTACCACAGGAATACAGTGAGAAGACAGTAGGTAATTAGATTTATGTCTTAAGCCCACAGGTTCTGATTCCACAAGGATAAGACAGATCTGTGGTGTGAATAAAAAGAAGCCTGAGGAACAGAAATCGTGGAAAGAGATCTCTTGACATGAAAGTTTCCCAGAAAGCTGGAGAGATCTTGAAAAAAGATAACCCTTGAGTTGCTGCACCTGCAGACTACTTGACCATTTTTTCCAGAGTGGGCAAGGTCTGAATATCTCAACCTTCAGAGGTCATCAATAATAGATGTGGGACAATGGCACGTTTGACCCAGATGATGGAAAGGAGAGGTAAGATGAGTAGAGTTAAAAGAGTATATTCAGTACTGTTTACAAGAAAGTTCACACAGGTGTTATTGATTCTGCAGGGAAAATATATGTTTTTTTTTTTTTAATTTAGATAAAATTATAAAATGTTATTTCTGTTTTTCCTAGAGGATACATTTAAATATATTTTTAAATGCTGTTTTTTAAATACTATTTTAAAATAGTATTTAAAAAGAAATATATATATATATTTTAGTTCTCGATGGACCTTTATTTTATTTATTTAAAAGTGGTGCTGAGAATCGATCTTGGTGCCTCACACATGCCAGGAAAGAGCTCTACCACTGAGCCACAACCCCAGCCCCTTAAAATAGTAATTTTTTAAATACTATAAATGTTTTCTATTCCGTTTCTCCTTATTCCTGTTGCCACTCCCCAAAGCCAATTGCTTCGAACATATTTTTGGATATTCATCATCTTTTTTTTTAGTTGAAACAATACCTTTATTTATTTATTTATTTATTTATTTATTTATATATGAAGCTGAGGATCAAACCCAAGGGCCTTGCACCTGGTAGGTGAGTGCTCTACCACTGAGCCACAACCCCAGCCCCCATCTTTTTTTTTTTTTTTTTAAATAACATCCTTATATAGCTAATGTCTGGTTTCTCATATTTTATGTTTTCAATTGATTTTTGACAATGTACATAATAATTTAGTTCTCTTTCACTACCTAATCCTTTCCATGTTAGCCCCATTCCAACACATTCTTCTTGCCTTTCTTTCTCGTATGGTACTGGAGATTGACCATGTATCAGAATCTGTAGGCATTTTCTGTTGGGCTAGTCAGTTACTCCAGCAAGAACTCCTAGATTTACTTGAGGAATATAAGCCAGAACTCCTGCTTTTGAGGAGTCAAAGGAAAAAATGTGTGGAGGGGCATTGCCTGAGAACTTTCATTTCTCTTTTTCTATATTGTTTCAGCCCTGTCTTTATCTGAATCTGGTATGCTGATAATCCAGAGCCTGTCCAATTCATTTATATAAGAGAAAAAAATTCTTAGGTTTTTTTTTTCTTTCTTTTTGTTAGTGTAAAAGGAATTGTTACCATGTAATATAGGGTTAAAGAAGACAATATGAAGTTTAACACCTTTTTTATAATGTTTTACATTCAGTTCCCTGTTTTTCATCCCTATTTTCAAACTTCTTGTCTGCAGAACTACCTAATACCCCCATTTCTGACCCTTTTTAGGATAATGTGATGGCTCTCCTATCCTCCCCCTCAACCCTCACTTAAACATTAGCTCTCTCTTGTTTAGATTAACACTCAAATGTCTGCTCTCTAGCTTCCAAAGTTTTATTAAGATCTCGTACCCGTTGAAGTCTTCTATTTTATTTGTCTTTGTAAATTTTAGATTCCTTTGTTGCTTTAACTAACATTTTGATTGGGTTTGGGAGACAGCAGAAATAAGTACATGTATTCAGTCTTCCATTTTTAATCAGAGGCCTTGAATGTTTTAGGGTGAAGAAACATCAAGTTATTATAAAATGAAATTAGAATCATGACTACATTTCCTCCATCATATGAATGTTCCTCAGTACCTATAACTAATATCTCATTAATGTCTTTTTTCTAAATTCTTTAAGAGTAAACTTAAAGACCATCCTAATCATTAAATCTTTGTGGCATATATTATATACTTAAGGTTAATTTCCTATTGGCATTAAAAATGTCAGAATTTTTGAGAAATACTATATTGTTAGTAAATTCATTGGACACCCTATCCTTAGCCGTTAAGAAATCTTCATCAGGGCTGGGGTTGTGGCTCAGGGTAGAGCGCTTACCTAGCATGTGCAAGGCCCTGGGTTCAATCCTGAGCACCATATAAAAATAAAGTTGTTGTTGTTTTTTTTTTTTTTTTAAGAAATCTTTATCAGACCCTATATGATGGAATTAGTTATCCACATACAATTCTGTGTCTATAGCTTTATGGTGTTACATTTCTCATGGCTCTGAGGATCATTCATCTGTAGGAGATCTATGGTCACCTGGTACTAAAAATTTTCATATTCCTTTGTCTGAAACTCTGAAGAAAATCTATTTTGTTTTTTTCCTTAGCTTGGTGTTCTCAGGATTCTGCCCTTTCTGCAGAAGAAAAGAATACAAGCAGGTCTCTTGTAAGTTTTAAGTGTTTGTTTCCTGCATTATTTTGGAGTGCAGTTGAAATAAGTTACTGTAACAGTAAGGTGGAAAAAATTAAGTCAGTGAAAATAAGTGAGGAAAAATACAGATAATAAATCAGATCCAGTGGGGAAATATATGATATATATATATGTGTATATATATATATATATATATATATATATATATATATATATATATATATGTGTATATATATATATATTGTAGATGGACACAATATCTTTGTTTTATTTACTTATTTATTTTTATGTGGTGCTGAGGATCGAACCCAGGGCTTCACACATGCAAGGTAAATGCTCTACCTATAACCTCAGCCCAGGGGTCATGTCTTTGAAGAAATAAGTACCTACAGAATAATTCAAGTTGGGTTCAAATTTGAATATGATTTGAAGAGGCAAAGCAAACTGAGACACAAAGTCTCTTCCATAATTGCATTATTTAAGCTCAGTGTTTAAAACATTGATCAAAGATCAAAAACTAAAATTACTTAGCATGTGTAAGACCCAGAGTTTGGTCCCCAGCACTACAAAAGCAAACAACAATAAGAAATCAGCTAGAAGAATAAATGGAACTTGTGTTTTTAAAATGATCCTACTTACATGTTTTCTTCAGTTTGAATTTTTGGTACAAGTTGAATTAAATTATATTAATGTTCTATGGCAGCATCTTGTATTTCTCACTCATATTTGTAGTTTTCTACATTTTTTATTAATTTATTTTAATTAGGTATATATGACTGCAGAATGCATTTTGATTCATTGTACACAATTGCAGCACAACTTATCATTTCTCTGAAAATGATTGTACACAATTAGTGTCGCACCATATGTGCAGTCATACATGTACCTAGGGTAATGATGTCCATCTCATTCCATCATCTTTCCTGCCCCTATTCCCCCTCACCTCTCCACCCCTCCACCCCTCCACCCCTCCCTCCCCTTTGCCCAGTCAAAGTTGTCCCCCCTACCCTAAGGATCAGCATCCACTTATTTGATAGAACATATTCAGCCTTTGGTTTTGGGGGATTGGCTTACTTCACTTAGCATGATATTCTCTAACTCCATCCACTTACCTACAAATGCCAAATTTTATTCTCTTTTAAGATATATACCACAGTTTCTTTATCCATTCATCTATTGAAGGGAATCTAGGTTGCTTCCACAGTTTAGCTATTGTGAATTGAGCTGCTATAAACATTGATGTGGCTGTGTCACTATAGTATGCTGATTTGAAGTCCTTTGGGTATAGACCAAGGAGTGGAATACCTGGGTCAAATGGTGGTTCCATTCTAAGGAGTCTTGGAATTCCTAAGGAATTTCTAAGGAATCTCCATACTGCTTTCCAGATTGGTTGTACAAATTTTCAATCCCACCAGCAATGTATGAGTGTGCTTCCCCTCCACACATCCTCGTCAACATTTTTGTTGTCTATATTCTTTTTTTAAGTTTTTTTTATAATTGTAGATTATATGCTTTTATTTGTTTGTTTTTATGTAGTGCCAAGGATCAAACCCAGTGCCTCATGCATGCTAGAGAAGTGCTCTGCCATTGAGCTACAGCCCCAGCCCAGTTGTCTGTATTCTCGATAACTATCATTCTAAATCGGGTGAGGTAGAGTAGTTTTGATTTGCATTTCTCTAATTACTAGAGATGTTGAACATTTTTTCATATATTTGTTATATTGAGTATATGACTTCTTTTGAGAAGTGTCTGTTCAGCTCCTTAGCCCATTTATGTATTGGGTTGTTTGTTTTTTTGGTGTTAAGTTTTTTGAGTTCTCCAGGAGCTAGATACATAAGAGTGTGTGTGTGTGTGTGTGCGCGCGCGCGCGTGCGTGCGTATATATGGTCACAATATCTTTATTTTTATGTGGTGCTGAGGATCGAACCTAGTGCCTCATGCATGCTAGGTGAGCATTCTACCACTGAGCCACAGACCCAGCCTTAATTCTTGACTTTTATTTCTTCCACTTTTGGAGTCTTGTTAAGGAAGTCAGGGCTTAATCCAATGTGATGAAGATTTGAGCCTACATTTCCTCTGTTAGGCGCAGGGTTACATCTATTTTATGGTCATAGAAGATGCATTGTTCTTCATTGTCTCTAAACATTACCTGATTTCCTCTGCTCTTGATTTTTTTTTTCCTTCTACCCTGGAAGATGCTCACATACTTGTATATTTCCTACTTCACTGCCCTTTTTCTTCAGATAATACTTTGTCATCATGAAACACACATTTCTTATGACCATATGATCATACAGCTCATCCTCTTGGTCCAGTAGTTCTCTGATCTTAGAGACACACTTGAGTTCAAATCTTGGCTTAGTGACTTAGAAAACATACAATCATGGGCACTCTTTGCATCATTTGTAAATAAGGAAAACAATGGAACTTATCCCCCTAAAACATGGGGAGGGTAAATGAACATCATCATCACCCTAAAAAGAAAGCCTGTATCTCTTAGCCATCACTTTTTCATTTCCCTCAAGGCAGGTTACAAATATACTTTATGGATTTGCCTATTCTGGACACTTTATATAAATGGAGTCTCATAATACATGGACTTGTGATATCTGAAACTTAGCGTAAAGTTTTCTGAGTTCATCATTCTGTCACTTTATTGGCACTTCATTTTTTAATTTCTGAATAATATTCCATTGTATAGATATACCACAGTTTGTTAATTTGTTAACGGACATTAGAGTCATTTGGCTATTATAAATACAACCGCCGTGAACATCTATGTAAAATTTTTATGTGGATACAATATGTTCAATTTTCTCAGGTTTGTAACATAGGAATGGAATTGTTGGATCAGTGGTAGCTGTATGTTTAATCGTTTAAGGAAATCATTCTGCTATTTTCCAAAGCACTTGTACCATTTTACATTCATACCAGCAGTGTGTGAGGGTTTTATTCTTGTCATCATTTATTATTTTATATCCTTTTAACTGTGACTGTCCTAATGGGTAAGAAGTAACGGCTTATTGTGATTTTGATTTGCATATACTTAGTGCCTAGTGATATCAAGCATTTTTTAGTGCTTATTTGCTCTGTGTGTGTGTGTGTGCATACACACATTTTTTTTTGTAGTTGTAGATGGACAGCATGCCTTTATTTTATTTGCTTATTTTTGTATGTGGTTCTAAGGATCAAACCCAGTGCCTCACACATGCTAGGCAAGCGCTCTGCCACTGAGCCCCAGCCCTAGCTCACTTGTATATATTTTTGAAGAACTGTCTATTTAGAACTTTGGCCCACTTTTAAATTAGTGTTGTTGTTGTTATTTTTAATTATTATTGACTTTGTAAGAAGTCTTTAATATTAGCTACAATTTTCATGAGATAAATAATTTTGAACTGTTTTCTGCTATCCTGTGGGTTGTCTTTTCATCTTTTTAAAAATACTTTATATGGTAAAAATAAAGCAAAAGTGTTGTCCAATATAACTAAAAAGTAAAGTATCAAAATGAACCTAACTTTAAAAAAAAAAAAAAAAGGATTACCTCATTTAAAAAAAAAAAAAAGATCTACCATTTTGAGTGGGGGCGGAATACTGGGGACTGAACTCAGGGGCACTTGGCCACTGAGCCACATCCCCAGCCCTATATTTTTGTTTTATTTAGAGACAGGGTCTCACTGAGTTACTTAGCACCTCACTATTGCTGAGGCTGGCTTTGAACTTGCATTTATCCTGTCTGAGCCTCCCGAGCCACTGGGATCATGGGCGTGCGCCATTGTGCCCAGATCCCTGAAGAAATATTTTTAGCTTTTATATGTAGGTCTTTCATTTAACTTTTATATGTTTAAATTGTAGTGATTTATATTTTTTGTTTTGCATGTAAACAATCCATTTTCTCAGCAAAATTTGTGCAAAAAACTTTCTTTTTTTAGTGAATTGTCGTCACTATGGTCAAAAATTTGTTGACTATAAATGTGAGGCTTATTTCTGGTATCTCAGTTCTATTCCATTGATCTATTATGTCTATTCTTATGGCAGTACCATAATGTCTTGATTATTGTAGCTTTGTAGTAAGTTTCGAAATCGGGCAATATGGGTCTTTGTGCAAAATTGTGTTAGCTGGCCTAACATATTGGCAAATGCTGTAATCTCATCTTGTTGGGAGTCTGAGCCAGGAGGATCACAAGGTTGAGGCCAATCTGGGCAATTTAGCAAGACCCTGTGTCAAAATACAGTATTTTAAAAAGGGACTGATAGAGCAAGACTTGCATGGCATGCATGAGATTCTGGTTCGATTCCCAGTACTGGAAAAAAAGAAAAAAAATTATGTTGGCTATTCAGGATCCCTTGCAGTTTTATATGAACTTTAGAATCTGCCTGTTCATTTCTGCAAAAAAAGTTGGTATGTCGTGGATTACATTGAACGTGTAGATCAATTTGGATGTATTATCGTCTTGACCATGGAAGTGTTGTCATTTTGACCATAGTCCTTTTTTAAAAAAATTTGTTAAATGTTTTAGTTGTAGTTGGACACAATACCTTTGTTTTATTTATTTATTTTTATGTGGTGCTGAGTATCGAACCCAGGGCCTAGGCGAGTTTTATATGCTCGCTAGGCGAGCGCTCTACCGCTCAGCCCCAGCCCCAGCCCCTTGACCATAGTCTTTATCATGCATGAACATGAGATGTCTTTATTTACTTAGATGTTTTTTAAATTTCAGTAATAATTTTACTTATTTTCTTAAGTTTTTCCTAAGTATTCTGTTGATGCTATTGTAAATGGTATCACTTTCTTAATTTTCTTTTTGGATATTTTCTGCAAGTATCTAGAAATGCAAAGTATCCAGACTTTTTTATATTTATTTTGCATTTTGCAACCTTGCTGAACTTGTATATTCTAATAGTTTTTTTAATACAAAATGACGCATCATAATAAATGTAACAACAGATACTTTCTCCTTAAGGTCAGGAACAAAATAGACATGTCCACTCTTCCACTTCTGTTCAGCATTGTAGTG